TATACGCACAAGAATGCATAGTATTCGCACAACATACGCATAGAGTACTCAGTGCTTATGCCAGCATACGCACATCCTACGTGCAAAATTGGCACAAACTGCTCTATTTTAAAAGTTTAGGGTTTAATTGTTAAAAACGTCCAACCCGGATTTTCCGGGTCGGGTCCGGGTCGGGTTGTCGTGTCGTGTCAAATATTGACACCCCTAATTGGAGGTATAGCGTACTATGCTCAAATAGTTCATATCAAGATTTGCTTAAAGGCATAGAGCCTAGCCGATTCAATTGTCTAGGGGAAACCCAGATGAGAGTGCTCTAAAACATATGGTGGAAGTTGTGCACCACATGGAACCTTTTCATAAAGCTTGAATTTTCAGATCTACTTTTTGCCGTTAAGGTTATCAATCACATAGTGGAGGGTAATTTTTCATATCCATTGGTTGTCTCAAGTAAGGAGCACCAACTTAACATAAGTTTGTTCATTTCAAAATATTTTCTTAAGCATGGGGTAAAGTGGTGTTCACTTTGGTGAGCATAAGATTCACATCGGAAAATGAGTTGCAATATTGGAGCTATTGAGCCTTGTAACTTTGAATGTAGAGTGGCCCAAGGATTAGGGCTTGTAGCTCTTAATGTTAGTGAAGCCTAGTAATATAGACTGTACCATCAATGCAAGGAAAGTTTGTTAAATATGAATTTTAACCTTGTGAAGTGCGCATGGCTTGCATCGATCTAATTGATCATGTGGGGCTTATGACCTCAAGGCGAGGAAGGTCTAAAAGGTGTTTGTGTTTAAGTTTTGGATGTTGTGTATGTCTAATCCACAAGCTTGATGGCTGGGGCTTATTGCGTTAATATTAGGGATCCCAAAATGTTGGGAATACCTAGCTTTTGTGCAAGGGAAACCCAAGTACAGCTCTTATTGCTATTATTGAGGAAGCCCAAAAATGGAACTTACAACATCTAGATTAGAGAGTGGATTAGTGATTGGTCTTACATCCTTGCCATAAAGATAAAGCGGCCTTGATAACACATTTATTTATGCTTGCCATTATAGAACACGTGTTAATATCCATCTGTGATGTTGAAGAGTTTGACAAAGCCCGAAAATTGATTTAATAGATCCGAGGGCATTTCATGCCAATAGATGTTCCAAATTTGGCTAGTAGGGCCATTTATGTTTTACCACTCTAGTAGGATACTAGGTAAGCAATGTTATTTGATTCTTTCTTTTAAAAGTTTGACTGAGGTGGCCAAGTCATGTTGCTAAATATAATAATTTCCAAATTATGAAATATTTTATAAACAAGTGATAGTTGCATTCTTTCCATAAATAGAGTATGATTTTGTATTTTTATATGTTTGCACTTTGATAACCTCCTTATTTGATGATGACTCTACTTACAGGGTATATCAAAAAATGTTGTCGTATTGAAAAATTTATCTTATTCCATCACTTCTCAAGGAGCTCTATCCTCAGAGTTTAAAATCATTGTGGTAGATTAACAAAAATAGAAGGAATATATTCAAAGCTAAGGAAACATATAAACACAATAAAGTTGTTGAATGAAAATTGAGATAAGTACCATTGGAATCGACATTTATCCCAAGCAATGTTTCAGAATGGGGATCCTGAGGAAATATATAGAGAGATTTCACCTAGATTGAAAAATTAGAGAAACACTAATAAAGTATGTAAACTTTGAAAAGCTCTATATGGTCTCTAACAATCCCCTTGTGCATGGTTTTACATATACTCCAAATCTATTGAAAAGTGTCGGCAAACTCGATATAAAGCTAATCACACTCTTTATCAAGTGTTCACCTAATAGAAAATATAGGCTATTCTGACCATGGTTGTAGATGATATTATAGTAACATGCGACTTCGAGGAAGAGCTAGCTACATTAAAGGGTAACTATTTTATGTTCCAACAAACTTTGAAACTACATATATCCTCATTAAGGTTTTACCGATAATGAGTTTTGATGATCTAATTAGCAAGTTGGGCATGGTCAACATGTGCAACTCATCTTAAGGGTGTGTTGAAATAATTCATGGACACCATCTTTTAATCTATGATCATGAAACAAAATGTGGATAACAGCTTTTCATCTATCAGATATCTCAAGTTGAAGATACAAATTGATCCACAAATGGCTGTACTATTGTATTTTCACCAGATATTTAAGTTCTATATATTCTAGAACTGCTTTCTATTTTCTCTCTAACAATATAGGTTGAGTTTATCTACCATATCCACGTGACTATGTGATCATCTTCCATGTTACTGATCAACAAAGTTATATGGTGCATGGCAATGGCTTAATCTAAAGCCTCCAAATGCTCTTTCTTATATTCATAGTGCACATGCTAGTAATCCAAAAGATACCCTTTTAAGAATTCTTCCACTATTTCTTCCATGGACACCAGATTACGCTTAAGGTCTCTTGTGTGAACGAAAGCCTCCAAATGTAATAATCCCTTCCATTGGAAGAATTATCGCCACCACTAAGGATAGTTACTGCCGTGCAGTACATAAATCAAGACTTTTTTGAATTATTTCTAGCATATTTTTACATTTGTTTAGGGGTTCTTTGATTGATAGAATTTTGAATGTAAAGAAATGCAAGGGTTTTGAAAATTCAAGCCATTTGGATGATTGCATTTCAAATGCAAAGTATTTTGGGAGTGCATATGAAAATTACTCTCAAGTTTATTTTGAGTATATTTGAAATTCATCTTGTTTGAGTGAATTCCTAGTACAACTTTGGTAAAAGTGATGCGGGTTGGTCACTGCCTCTTCTAGCCAACTGTTGGCACCACTGCGGATTGCCGCTGGCTACCCACTGATTGATCCATTGCTGTTGTGCTTGCCGTTTGCCACCCGTCACTGTTGCCGACAGGTGCTCGTCATCTCTGCCTCAACTGCCACCCATCGTTGACTTACTTCTTTAGTCGCCATCGATGTTAGCTATCGTTGTTGTCTATTGTTGCCCACCGGGCTTGGCATCGATCACATCTGATTAATTATTGTTCCAAAAGTATTACTATTTTACTTCGCACTCTTCTAATGAAAGAAAAAAGTAAAATCTTGCATTTGTAGCAATCAAACAAATCAAAAGTATTTTACAATATACTATTTTTATTTTACACTATTTTTTTGTACTATGCATTTCTTTTTCATCAAATGAAACTCCCCTTAGTGTCATGTATATAAATAAATAAAATTATTCTTTTAGTTATGTCTATTCTATTAATAAATTTGATGTCTTCATTGGGATTTATCTAGTTTTAACTTTTAACTTACATAAAAACTATTCATTTACTCCTTTTCCTGCTAAATTCGCACTTCTCCTTCCTTTCTATGTCTCGCTCCTTCAAGTTGCAAGGCCAAAAAGCTCTGAAGCTGGCCCTCTTCATGATCCCCTCATACTTGATTTATTTATCCGTATTCTCTCTTTTGTTTCTCTCTGTTTCTTTTCAATTAAGGATTGAATTACCGTAGAAAACAGCCATTCCAAAAAAAATGAGACCACCATCAGTGATCCATCAACTTTTATTCATTTGCCAGCATAGAAGAAAGAAATTCAAAGCATGACTGTATCCATTTCTTTCATAGTAAGAAGACAATGACGATCATAATTTCTTGTCTAGATTTAGGCTTCGTTTGGGATGGCTTTCTTACTGCTTCTTAAAGAAGCTTTTTAGTTCAAAAATTAAAATTTGAATACCATAAAACTGCTTTAAGAAGCCGTAAGAAAGCCATCCCAAATGAAGCCTTAGAAGTTGCATAATTTATTGTATATATTTTTTTTTCTTTATCACCAAAAACTTACAGTATTGAAACATGCATATTTCGCCAAAGGCTTTTTACCAAACCTCCTAATATATGCACCCAATGTACCTTTTTACAATCACTGCTTCTGCCTTTCTGGCAGTTAAGGTACTGCTGTTTTAGTTTTTTATTAATAAAAATATTATAGGCCCCAAATAGTTCTACATATAAGCATAATGTTGTAATTTTAAAGAACATCACGAACTGCTACATATTATTGTAGATTTTAATAGAGAAAATTTTGTCAGATATCCTGCTACAAACTATCTCAGGATGAGTTTCGTAGTACTTAAATTTATGTTGAGATTTTTGAAGTTCAGAATATCATATTTGATATTTATTTCAGTGCTAAACTGCTAATCCAATGATTTTGAAGCCTATTCTGATGTATTTTATGCCAGTGGTGTCAATTTCGGGTCAGGGTCAGGGTCAGGTTCGGGTCAATCCCGGAATTGACCCGACACTATTCGGATCAACTCTAACCGGACTCATTTTTGCATACGGGTCAATTTTTGGGACCCGAACTCGACCCGCTTCGAATTCTGGTCAATCCAACTCGACACGGATTTAGGGATTTGGCTGAAGAAGTGTGCGAAGATAGCAACCTCCGATCGTTGACCGGCCTGCGAACGGCTGAGGTAGCGACGACGGACCGTTGTCGCGGTGAGGCGGCAACCCTATGAGCGGGAAACGGATGTCGTCCGCCGGATGCGAGAGGTCTCGCAGCCAGACTGCTTGACGCTGAATTGTGGATGGATGCAACGGCTGATGCGGAAACGACTACTTGACATGACGTCGCGACGGTTGGATGGACCGTGGACGTGACTGAACGGACAAAGAGCAGGAAACGGATTGTCCCGGTCAAATTGGGTTGATTTCGGATCTTCGGGTCAACCCGAACCCAACCCGTTTTAGCAAACGGGTCGAAATCTCTAACCCGAACCCGACCCGGTTTGGGTTCAAGTTGACCCGAACCCGAAATTTCCGTGTCGGGTCCAATATTGACACCAATATTTTATTCCATGATATTTCAATATAATATTTTTCTTTCTTCAAAGAATGTAGCATTTTATTTTCTTATTCTTTAATAAATGTTTACATGATTTCGGCATGCTGTCACTGAATTCTATTTTACTAACTTTCTTCATCTTAATCTGACTTCAGTTACCAAGTAGTAGAAAGCATGAGACAGGGGATGGAGCCTAAGATCGCAGCAGCTGATGCTATCTCTCGAATCGCTCGCAAGTTTCCAGATTTCGTTGGAGCTATCTTTGCCCTTAACAAGAATGGTGTGCATGCTGGGGCTTGCCATGGATGGACATTTCAATACTCTGTAAGAACACCCACCATGGAAGATGTTGAAGTCTTCACTGTGGTACCCTGAAACGGGAAACAAGTTAGGTCAGTTAGAGTAAATTTTTAATCAGAATATATTTTAAATTTACTTTGATACAAACATTTTCCCCCTCTAACATCATTGGTTTTCTAACTTTGATGCTGCTTTCTTGGTTAGAATTTCATGAAGTTCTAGTTTTGTTTATTTTAAAACTTTGTATATTAGGGCAAATTATCAGGTGCGGACAACGGACTGAGAGAATCGTCCGATTTTCTCTCTGTCTATAGTAAAAGTGCAGTTATTATAGCAGCTGCGCTTTGACTACGTTTTTATTGTAGATAGAGAGAAAACAGGACGGTTCTCTCCGTCCGATATTCGCACCTAATAATTTCAAGTATATTAGGGTTGCAGATGAATCATTATATTTGACAAGTTACTCGTTGCTTGATTCTGTTAGAGCTGATGCAATTAAGTAATGAAACAAATTAAAGCACTTATGTAAATATTTTATTGGTAAATGAACATGTTTAAATAATTTAGTAGTTGATTTGCTTATGACCATGATAATATCATTTATAGCTTTTGAATAAAGTTGTTAATAAGCTAATTAAGGTTTGTTAATATGCTTATTTAAAATTGGTATATAAATTTACTCAATATGTGATTACACGAGGTTTATTTATTTCTATTAGATTAATTTTGTTTACAAATATAAGCTATTTGTTTATGCTCGTTAAAATGTTTATTTTTTTTTAGTAGTCATTTAATTAAAGTTACATTTTAAAGCTCTCAGTATTGTCCGGGCAAAGCTAATGTTGTAGCTGATGCATTGAGCAGAAAAACCCAAACTCTGTTGAATATGTTAACTAATGAAGAAAGATTGATTAAAGAAATGGAAGCCTTAGAAATAGAAGTCAGAATGCAAAGAGATCAAAATACACTAAGCATTAATCAGATGACAGTTCAACTGTCATTGGAGGAAAGAATTAAGGAAGCTCAGAAGAAAAGCAATGAATATCAGAAGTTTTTGGATCAAGTGCAAGAAAAATTAAAGAAGAAATTCAGTATTGATGAACAAGGAACAATCAGGTATAATATGCGGTTGTGGTTACCAAAGGAGTCAGATTTGATTCAAGACATCTTGTTTGAAGCACATAATACCAGTTACTCCATTCACCCTGGAAGCACAAAGATGTATAAGGATTTGAAAACTTCATTTTGGTGGCCAGGAATGAAAAGAGATGTGGCAAATTATGTGGCTAAATGTGAGAAATGTCAAGTTGTTAAAGCTGAGTATCAGAAACCCAATGGGATGTTACAATCTCTACCAATTCCAGAATGGAAATGGGAGGAAATAACTATGAATTTTATTACAGGATTTCCCAGGTCAAGACAAGGACATGATAGCATATGGGTAGTAGTTGACAGACTCACCAGGTCAGCCCATTTTCTACCTATCCGTCAAAATGATTCAGTGGAGAAATTGGCCAAATTATTCGTGAAGGAAATTATCAGATTACATGGAATTCCTAAGGCTATTGTATTAGATAGAGATGGGCGTTTCACATCTAAGTTATGGAAGAGTACACATGAAAGTTTCGGCACAAAATTGAAATTCAGTACTGCATTTCATCCACAGTCAGATGGTCAATCAGAAAGGCTGATTCAAGTGTTGGAAGATTTATTAAGATTATGTATATTGGATTTTGGAGGTCACTGGGAAGATCATGTTCCATTGATCGAGTTCACTTATAATAATAGCTACCAGTCCAGCATCAAAATGGCTCCATATGAAGCTTTATATGGCAGAAGATGCATAACTCCCTTGAGTTGGTTTGAAGTTGGTGAAAGACAATTGTTGGGTTCACAGTTAGTGGATCAAGCTACTGAAAAAGTAAGACTGATCAGAGACAGATTAAAAGCAGCTCAAGACCGCCAACAAAAATATTATGATCCCAAGCATAAAATGATAGAATTTGATGTGGGAGATTTTGTATTCTTGAAGGTGAGGCCAATGAAAGGTATTTCTAGATTTGGTCAAAGTGGAAAACTCAGTCCTAGATTTATTGGTCCATTTGAAATTATTGAAAGAGTGGGGCAAGTAGCTTACAAGTTGGCTCTACCTTCAGATATGTCCGAGATACATAATTTTTTTCATGTATCAATGCTCAGAAAGTGGGTTACAGATGAGGATCAAAGTGTTCTTAAGAAAGATATTAAACTTCAGAAAGATTTGACATATGTTGAAGAACCTGAAATGATATTGGATAGAGATGTTCGTAAACTGAGAACCAGAATGATTCCTTTCGTAAAGGTGAAATGGAAACATAGATCAATAAAGCATGCTACTTGGGAAAGGGAAGCAGAATTGAAACAGAGGTTTCCTCACTTATTTGAAGAAGCATGAAATGTCGAATTTCGGGGACGAAATTTTTATTAAGGAGGGAAGATTTGTAATATCCTAATTAAGGTAAGTAATCCGTCAATTCAAATTAAAGTTTTCTTGTATTATCAGTAGTAATATTACTGAAAAAAAATTAAATAATGATAATGTTAAGGAATATTATTGTTAAGAAATATTATTTTGAATGTATTTGGATAGATGCTTGTTTATAGTGAAAGGATGTGAGAGAGAGTAGCTCTTATCCTCTTATTCACTGATCTTTATCCGATCAGTTTCCCGCAAGCCAAGCAAAAAGAAAGTTAGTTCACGGTTCAGTGAAGAGAAAGGAAATTCATAAGAGGCTTTTGGATGTAAGCAGTTAGAAGTGGGACCCACTTTCTATTGGCTTTATCTGCATTCCCGTGGAGAACCTTTGGAATATTTTTGGAAAGGAATTCAGTGCAGTGAAGTTATTTCACAAGCAATTCTGAAAATCTCTATTTCCACCATTGGCTGTGTAGAGAAACTGAAGGCATTTCAGCAGAAGACTTTTCCCGGGACTGTAGCATTAGGCGGAGAACTGCTTGGCGGAGAGAGATGCCATCTGCGAACTGTAACAATTCGCAAGTCACGGGATATATAGACAGAAGTTTGCCTATCAACAGTGAGAGTATAACCAATTCTCCTGTCAGCAAAAAGCACAGAAACGATAGTAGAGTACAAGTAACATGAAATTTCTGCATTAGTCATCTAGAATTCAGCAA